AAAGTTGAGGTTATCCACTAACTTACCCTTAAACTTACCCGGGTATGTCACATAACCTGCTTTCTGGAATACCCCCCTGGAGTACTCTACAGCTTGGATTAACTGGGCAAAACCTGAGTCTGTAGCTGCTGGGAAACATTTAGTGGTTAACTGAGCTCCTTAGAGGCCAGTGATGCATGTATGTAATCTTTTCTCACTGTTGGTCTTGTTTTCTTTTTTACCATTCACCTAGCACCTATGTTATTGTTATTATTATTATTTTTGCTATTATTATTATTATTATTATCTGTTGCTGAATCTCTTAATGAATAAATATATACGTTACTCACAAAAAAAGCCTCTTAACTGAAAGTGCTTTTTTAAAACAAGCCCTATCTTTTGGAAACTAAAAGGAAAAATAAGAATAAATCAGAATGTTAATGTATAAACAATGTATAAGACTGAAAACAAGCTAAGATGTGACTGTTCTTATTCAGGGATGTACATTTACAAAAAAAGCTGTGTTTAAACCATTGTTGTGTTTAAACCATTTTCTTTTTGCAATTTTTTCCTTATTCTTCAGACTCCAGCACAAAATACAAAAATAACATTTCAAAGCAAAACTGAAATTATTCCTACTGTGCCTCTTTGCATTAACATTAATAAATGATTTTGTGCCATGGTGCATTGTTACACCTGTACAATGTGACCGGCAGACTGATCCTAAAACCATATGTATTCCCGTCTGGGAAATATAATTATACAGAATGTAGAAATTAGCACAGCAAGACTCAATACACCACAGATGGATAAGCTTGTATTTAAAGGGAGGATAATTATGGCAAACAAGCATCAGGTATTACTCATTAATAACAGGTTCTGCTGGAGTGTGATCTCTCTGCTGCCATCAGGTGGTGAATCTGAACTATGACACACTTCCTGACAAATGCTAAAACGTAGGTCCTTGGTCCTTGTACCCCAATAATCATTATTTATACAAAAGCTGGTACTCTTCAATAACAAGGTAAACTTAAAAATTAATAAGTAAACAAACTCTTGCATTTAATATAAAATGAGATAACAAAGCAAAGGAAACATTTTTTTAACAGCAGACATAAAGAATATTTGAAAGAAATATGCAAGCAACCTGTGATTGTATTTAAAATCATTAAATATCTGTATCCACTAAAATCACTTGATCACTATTCACAGGCAGGTGATCTTTGGTAGATTCAGGGTAATATAGTATGTAAGCAATTATTGTAATCTCTCAGTTCATTTAATGCTGTTGGCACTGACAAAGCATGTAGACAAACAAATATCACAGAAAAAAAGCCCAACATTATAATCATCAAATGGACGGTTATTAATCCTTGTCTGTGTGAAAACTGCTGTTTCAGATCAGTCTGTGTGACTGACAGGAGAGATGATAAGGGGACCTGATGTCACACTGTTACAGGGGTTAACAGCTGGATAGAGATTCTCACTGAAGTTGTAACCAGTAAAAGAGTAGATATGGGACCTGGTGTCCACATTGTAAAAGGAAACCTGCCCCCTCTCATAGTCCACATACGCCCCCACCTTCTTAGGAGGCTCATTCAGAGAGAGGGAGGTGGGGGGGGCTGTAGAAACATTGTACACATTCTTCTCTAGTATCAACAGCAGGAAGCCATTCTCTGTATTTTTCTGAATATACTTCATCCTTTCAACAGACTCTTTCACAAATCCAACTGAAAAGCATCCCCTTGTCCCAACCTCAACCTCATAGTAATGTCTCCCTGAAGAGAAACTCTCTTTTCCCTGGATCCCGTACCAAGTTTGGAACCTCAGTGGGCTGTCAGGTAGGAGGTGGTCACTGAATCTCACTTGTTTGCCGTCCTCAGAAACAGTAAGATTACGATGCGCTGTTCTGGGGTCCAGAATGACATTAGCTACAAATAATAAATATTATTGTTATTTGGGTTTCCTTCCTAGGTCATCATGCAACAGTTTAACTGAGAAGAGAGTAAACAGTATAGCACAACTACAAATGATTACTTTATACTTTAAAAATGATCACACAAATTTTCTTCCTAAACACCTCACAAATTGACTTCATTTCAGAAAAAAATACATTAATACATTTATTACATTTAGTGGCTACCCTGAATCAACTCAGTCCTACCTGCTGCTTTACGGATCCACTTCCACACTTGTTGTTGGACAGCTCCTTGTTTATCTAAACAGATTCCATTAATGACGTCAGATTGCAGCCTCACTCTGATGCAATTATCAAATGTGCAAAATGTTTTCATATATGCTTCCCTCATTTTTTTCTAACAATGATGTTTGGACATTTATTCATATTAACAAGTTTATGCAGTCTACTTTCCTTTAATACTCTCAGCAGAATAATGCCAGCAGTATATTTTGTGAGACAGAAAAGGGAAATTTTCATTTTTATTTTCAGTGTTATTAAATTAAGCTTTTCAGAAGCTTAATTTAATAACACTGAAAATAAAAATGAAGAAAGTGGCATTCAAAGGAGTGAAAACCAAGCAGAAGTTATATTTTGAAAAAAAAAATCTGATTGAAAAACTTACATGACCATTTAGCAAAGCCATCTTCAGCTGAAATAAAAATCAAGTCTTTAAAAAAATGTATTTTATAAAGAGAAAAACAACTGAAGTCTGATATTTGCAATACTGTTTACATTGCATGAATAACCTATATTTCAACAGATAAGCAAACAGAGACACCTTAGGTGATCAAACATAAATCTAAGATTCCAATATATTACAACAACAATCGATACAAACACATCATTACACTAATTACAGAAAACATTACGACACCTCAACCTCCTCATTCTACTACATGTCCTATTCTCCATGATCTACCACAATTTAAGGATCTGATACAGAATGTGGAAAATGAATTAAAATGTAGTTTTATGG